AATAATAATAATAATAATAATGGTAATAATAATAATGGTAATAATAATAATAGTGATAATAATAATAATAATGGTAAATAAAATAAATAAATAAATAAATAGATAAAGAAATAATAATAATAGTGATGATAATTATAGTTATGGTAGTGATAATGACGGTGATAAAGAAAGTGCTGTGATAATGATAGTGATATGATAGGCAATAAAAATGATAAAGTAACGGTAATGAGGATGGTGATGCTGATGGTCTGATGATAAAGATAATACCAATATTATTATCAATAGTGGTGATGAAGACATAAATGACAACAATTGTTGTAATGAGGATGAAAATGGTGTTATTGATAATAGTTGATAAGAACAGTCAACAATAATGATGATTGTTATGGCACAAATGTGAACTATGTGGCAGTTTCATCCGTATCATCACTTGTCTTTTTCTTTGTCAATAATATCACCATCATTGTCGTCATCATCGTCATCATCATCAAACATCGTCATTATCATCAAACATCATCATCATCATCATCAATTATCATCATCATCATCATCATCATCAATTATCATCATCATCATTATCATCAACCATCATCATCATCATCATCAGTCATCATCATCGTTATCAAAATCATGATCATGTGATCCAGCGTCAAATAATTGTTGTCACTTAATAATTGTTGTCGCCTCATTTAATAATTGTTGTCATTTAATAACTGTTGTCGCTTTTCATTGTTTCAATTTTTTTTCTTCCTTTAACTTTTAACTTCCGTTATAACGATTATCAATGGTTGATTGTAAATAATCACAAATAATTCTTTATCCATAAACTAATATCCATTTGAATTATTGTTATTAATCGAATTACCCTGATGAAATAATCATTGATAACTATTGATAGCGTTTTGATAATGTATATCAACGTATGATGATTGAAATGATGTGTACATCATTCATATAAATGCTTAGATGTATATGTGTGTAAAAATTTTTTTATTTTATTTCCTTTATTAAATTTATATTTATTATTTTCTATTTTGTATTTCCTATACTTCTGTTAGAATTTTCCATCCTTTGTTATGATATAATGAATAAGTTAAATTTAATTGGATGAAAAAAGAAATGATTGGGTATGAATTATTTGTTAAATTTCTTAAATTTTAAATATTTAAACATCATGATTACTTTTAAAAATTATTCTCATTCTTCTTCAACTTTCTAATATTTATCATTTGATAAGAAACAATTTAGGATGATAGGATGCGTTCAAAACTGAATATATTTCATCATAATGAATGATAATAAACATTCGTGCAATTTTTATCATTAATACTATTGATAAATTTAAATTTATCAAAATAAACATAATTATCACTTAATTGTTAACATTATCAGTTAACAACAACCATTGCTTCCAGTCAATAATTTGTCAACAAATAAAACACAACTGTCGAGCAGTTGTATCTTCTTAAAATTTTTACAAAATATGCTCCATTTTCATATTAATCTCTTCCTTTTTAACTTTACTTACCTTTTATTTTCGACTTTTTGTTTATTCTTTTTTTTCTTTTTTTTTTTTTTTTGATCTTCAAACGATAACATACTAAATTATTACATTTACGAATTCATAACTTCAACTAATGAATAATTATTTAAATCAAATTTCGATTATTAAACCGGATCCATTCTTCCTTTTTTCTTATCGTTTTCGATATTTCTTTAATTAATAATGAAAATGACAAATTGAATACATTTAATTGCCAGTAAATGTTATTTTCATGCCTTTTATTTAATAATTTTAAATAATTATACTACTACTAGTGCTGTTAATTACTGCTACTACTATTACTACCAAATTTTATCAATTCGTATTCCGTTGTAATTATCAGTTTAACTTTACGAGACTATTCATAGCTTAAATTTCAGCAATTTACTACTCTAACATTGTAAAATTAAACAATTTCACTTTAATCGATGTTTGAAATTTCTGATTTATTTCATTCTAAATTCATTCATTCATTTTTAATCAATTTGATTATTCTAAATTCATTTATTATCGATTTAATTATATCTTTTTCAATATTTTTCATCACTTTTTTTTCACTTTTTCTTTTCTTCTTCTTTTCTTTATCTTTTTCCTT